CCGCAAGTGGACATGGAGGAGCCCTAATGGCGAAAATAAGAACGAAATAGACTTTATAATGAGTGCACAGCCAGGCATCATGCAGGATGTGGAAGTGGTTGGCAAGGTACGATGCAGTGACCATAGAATGGTACGGTCTCGAATTCGCCTAGACTTGAAGAAGGAACGACAGAAACTGATTCGCAAGAAGCAAATCGATGAGCAAGCACTGAGAGGGGAAAGTACAGGAATTCAAAGTCTTGCTTCAGAACAGGTACTCGGCTCTTAGTGAGGAAACCAACCTTAGCGTGGATACAATGAATGATCATCTGACAAGTATCATTACGGAGTGTGCAGTGGAAGTTGAAGGCAGGGTAATTAGACAGGACACTGGCAAGCTTTCCCAGGAAACGATGAATCTCATTAAGAAGCGTCAAAGCATGATAGTCTCAAGTACAATAGACAAAATAGAACTGGCAGAGCTTTCGAAGTTGATTAATAGGTGTAAGGTATGCAATGTAAGAAGGTATAACATGGAGAGAATTGAACACGCTCTGAAAAACGGAGGAAGCGTCATAACAGTGAAGAGGAAACTTGGAATAGGCGAAAATCCGATGTATGCACTAAGGGACAAAGAAGGCAAAATAACTACCAATATGGATAGGATAGTTAAAATAGCGGAGGAGTTTTACAGAGATCTGTACAGTAGCCGAGACAACCACGACCTTAATACTATAAGAACTAGCAGTAACCCAGATGACACCCCACCAGTAATGATAGAAGAAGTCAGAAAAGCTTTGGAGAGCATGCAAAGAGGCAAAGCTGCTGGTGAGGATCAGGTAGCATCAGATCTGCTGAAAGATGGAGGACAGATTGTGTTAGAAAAACTAGCCACCCTGTTTACAAGGTGTCTCCTGACGGGAATAGTACCAGAGTCTTGGAAGAATGCTAACATCATCTTAATACATAAGAAAGGAGATGACAAGGACTTGAAGAATTACAGACCGATCAGCTTGCTCTCTATAGTATACAAGCTAGTTACAAAGGTAATTGCTAACAAAATTAGGACAACATTAGAATTCGATCAACCAAAGGAAGAAGATTTCGAACAGGCTACTCAACAATCGACCACATTCATACTATCAATCAGGTAATAGAGAAATGCTCAGCATATAGCCAACCACTATACATAGCCTTCATAGATTACGAGAAGGCGTCTGATTCAGTAGAAATATCAGCCGTCATGCAGACACTGCGAAATCAGAGCGTCGAAGTATATATAAACATCCTGGAAGAAATCTACAGGGGATCAACTGCTACCACAGTGCTTCATAAAGAAAGCAACAGAATACCAATCAATAAGGCTGTAAGGCAGGGTGACACAATCTCCCCAATGCTATTTACCGCGTTCTTACAGGAGGTTTTCAGAAGCCTAGAATGGGAACAGTTAGGGATAAGAATTAATGGAGAGTACCTTAGTAACCTGCGCTTCGCCGATGACATCGCATTGCTGAGTAACTCAGGGGACGAATTGCAACTCATGATTACGAAGTTAGACAAGAAGAGCAGAAAGGTGGGTCTTAAAATTAATCTGCAGAAAACGAAAGTAATGTACAACAACCTCGGAAGAGAGCAGCACTTCGAGATAGGTAATAGTGCACTTCAAGTTGTAAAAGACTGTCTACTTCGGGCAGGTAATAACCGCGGAGCCGAACCACGAGATTGAAGTAACTAGAAGAATAATGGGGTGGAGCACATTTGACAAGCACTCTCAAATTATGACAGGTAGATTGCCACTATCCCTCAAGAGAAAGGTATATAACAGCTGTGTCTTGCCGGTGCTTAGCTACAGAGCAGAAACCTGGAGACTTACAAAGAGGGTTCAACTTAAATTGAGGATGACACAGCGAGCAATGGAAAGAAAAATGGTAGGCGTAACCTTAAGAGACAAGAAGAAAGAGTGGATTAGGGGACAAACGGGCGTTAAGGATATCATAGTTGAAATCAAGAGGAGAAAATGGACATGGGCCGGGAAAGTAGCACGTAGACAGGATAACCACTGGTCATTAAGGGTAACTAACTGGATTCCCAGAGAAGGCAAGCGAGTTAGGGGGAGACAGAAGGTTAGGTGGGCAGATAAGATTAAGAAGTTTGCGGGTATAAATTGGCAGCAGGAAACACAGGACCGGGTTAACTGGCGGAACATGAGAGGAACTTTGTCCTGCAGTGGACGTAGTCAGGCTGATGATGATGATGACCGCAGCTCGGTGTTTTAACCATCTAACGAGTGATTTCCTGAAGACATATGATTGATTTAATTCCACACAATCTCAAAAAAAAAAAGCCTACCTAACAAGATATGAAAACAACTATGAAAAAAAGAATTTTCATACAACCAGCTGGAGCCTACTACTTCCCTTCACCATAAATGCAGACAGCAATACTGAAAACCTCAAAACTGAACGTCACACCTAGCCGATGTAGGCATAGAAAAATGAAGTGTGGCTTCAACAGGATCACACAGGCAATGATGTGCCAACAAGCTGCTGAGGCTGCCCACACACCACCTTAGCACATATAATTCCCACTGCAAGGCAACAACCTCTCCTGCTATTTCCAAATTACCCTTTTCTACAAAAGCCGATTCCATTTTACACATGCAAATTTCTCAATGTCTTCACTACACCCAACCCTTTGCCATGCCCGATGACATGGCCTGCCTAAGTCTCTTTTTCCCCCGCCAGGTTATGTATAATATCGGCGACCCGTTTGTTTTCTGACCCACTATGCTGTTCCTTTATGTTGTGCCTGTCTTTTTACATTCTATTCTACGTGGTGCAGTCTTTACTTCACTTTATCATCACCATCCAAGTTTCTGTACTGTATTTCATTATGGATAAGGTGCAATGATTCTACAATATTCACTTTACAGATGGCAGTAATGGGCTGGGCAAATTAAATCCTCCTAAGTGGCCCCCACTTTCATACCCTTGCAAACGTATTCGACAGCTGCGATTATAACTAGTGTCATCGCCATGGTGACAAATTGGAACAATTTGAAAGGTTAAGGCTTGAAGCACTGCAATTGCATGAATCAGAGGCATAATGCACTTCACACAAATATACCAATTCGGCAGTGTGACAGTGCGTTTCAAGTTTCGAAGCACTCAACATGAAAAAAAAATTCAGGCGCAGGGAACCCTTGTCTTGCCAGGCCCTCGGCGAAAGCAACTTGTAACATCACTTCTTGCACAACGTGCGCTGAAATCCCCTCGCATGCAGCATGCCAACGAAAAGTGGCCGCAATTAACTTAATGGTGAGAACGTGTCATGCACTTAAAAACACTCGTAAACTTGCTCGAATCAGCTGCACTTGTACGGCATTGCTCGGCGGTCACCGAAAAAGAAAAAAGTCAGAAACTGCAGAGAAAACTACAACGTGTCCCGTGAGTGCCGTTGAATGGGCGGAGGTGAAGCTTAATCTTGCGAGAAAAGTGGCTCTCAACCTGCCTAAGAGGTCCGGAGCGATACGGTCGACACAAAAGAAGCAACCTTAACGGCACGGAGTTGATAAGCGACAGCCCGAAACCTCCGGCGGATACAACAAGGCAGACGACATGAAATATTAACTGATGCACAATTTGCACTATACTTCCCCCCTCCCCCTGATTTCTAGACACGGCGCACGCGAAATCCCACGCTCGCAGGACAGGCGGGCACTCGCATAGCTGGTCAGGAACGACCGGAAGCGAGACACAAGGCCAATTTGCAACGTGTGGTCGGTGGCCACGAAGAGGCACTTTCGCGAGCTGATACGAGTTGCGCAACATACACAAGTGGCAAGCGCGGTCCGTAACTGTCAAAATGACGCTTTCTGGTAAGCATTCCACGAATTCTGTAAAATCACATCATCCCTAACCCATTTGGCAATGACGCAAGTACAGCAGTACCTTCGGTCAGTGACACCTGTCAGAGCTAGCGACAGTTTCCAAACAGCTGTTGCCAGATTATTTCACGCTCGTTTTGCCGGCACAAGCGCATGGCGGCACTACGGCGCGACGTTACGCAACATTGGTTATAAGGCTTACCGCGGTAGACAAGTGATGATCTTCATCGTGTGCAGCTTTCTACGTGGTTCTCCCACAGGTATTTGGAGTGAGGCCCGTCACGTGTAGCTGCCCACCGGGTCGAGGAGGCCGTGTGCCGCACGTCGCACTAGGTAAAGGGAGAGTGAGCCACTTCTATCCAACCGCCTTGCGATAACACGGACCCACGGAATTTTTCCACGTACCCCTGCGACCAACCGCTGATAAGCGGACTCGGCTGCCAGCGTGACAAATGCGAGTCCGAACTCACACCCCCAATACACAAAATTAGCAAACAGTGCACTAATTTACTTAGCAATGCATGTATCTACATGGTCTACGCGCGCAGACCTACCTTCGAGCGCGGAAGCCGCACAAGGCGCGAAAAGCAAATAAAAGGTCGCAAAAAAATGCGCAACTTTCGTGACGTCAAGCAAAATTTAGTCCGCTATTGGACAAAGACACGCTTCCTGTTGAAAAAGGCGAGATTTGTCGTCTGCTACTTCCGACGCGTCATAGGAGGGAAAGGGGGGGGGGGGGTGTTGTCAAACTCGTTCCCACGCAACACAGACATACCACGGAACGTTTGATATTAGTTATTTCCTGCTATACGAGTAATACACTTAAGAAAATGTTGAAAAAAAATTCACCTACTACTCGGCCAATTGCCTGCATTGGGTATGTGATGACATGAGGAGAAGAACGTTTGCTGTTGAAAAACACAACGCCTGCGCGTCCTTTGAATTTCGTGCTTACCCCCCCCCCCCCCGACAGCGATGCCGCGTTCACGATTGATATGTGGGGTTTAACGTCCCAAAACCAGCATATGATTATGAGAGACGCCAAAGTAGCGGGCTCCTGATGCCACGTTCAGAAGATATCGAGGTAGAAGGAGGTAATGCTACTAAAACTATTTATTATAACACACAACTTGCATCATTTCGAAGCAAATTGCTTCATTATTTAAAGAGGCATGAGCACAAGTTTTTATCACCTATCAAAAACTTGGGTTTTAGTAAATAACACTGACGTGAAAGAGTAGCATCAACACCACAAATCTGTACGTTTTTATTCAGCCTCGCTGATTATATACCTAATATTTATATAAATATATACATATATCGCAGCAATCGGGTCACATACCAAGCGATCACACGCATGCACAACACAACAAGCTATGTGAAAAGTTTTAATGAGTCACTGTATTTGGAGCATCTCAGTAACACCATGGCGGTCTGCAATGTACAGCTGCATGCGTACCAAACGCAGAAGTCATAATAAATTACGGCAATCCTCGGTAGAGGGTACGCTCAACTCTTCACTGAGGGCTAAGACAAAAAATGTGCTGACACAGGCTGCACATCACGAATACGTCCGCAGCATAGCAGAACACATTGCTGGCAGTACGAGATGGCGAGATTCGCCAGTCCATAGTTCAGTCAATTCTTGGCTTGCGGTTCCGGGTTCGTGGCGTTCCTTGCACTTCCGAAGCACCGTTATTCGCAGCCAGGAGTTCCCGCACAAATCGAAACCGTGACAGAAACAGTTTCCACACGATGTACCATCCTGCAATATAAAGGTATAACGTAAGCCGAATTGCTGCTTTCTAAACAACGCACTTTCGATTGCGATAGAGATTCTTGCCCATAACTGGCTCATTCGCGCAAAATGCGGAGACGAGAGTACTTCGGTCCAGAAATTCGACTGCGATAAGATTGTGATACCCGCATTAGACAAAGGAAGAACGAAACAGCGCTTGTCTAAAAATCTTAATTATGAACCAATTGTAATCGCATGAAACGTTAGGCAAAGTGCAACTTTGCTTTTTACGAATTACGTTAGGTACAGCAAATTAAGATCGCCTCAACAATTTACGGAGAACAAGGTGCCAAGCAAAATCTCACACCAAAATAACCACACGCTTCGTTTGCGTCTTTCTCTGAGTCGCATGCATATCCATGTGCTTACCTATGCCCACCAGCAAAAGAACGAGCAACAAGGCGAAAACAAACGATACGATTGCCAAAAAGAAGTTTGACATGATTCATAGCAAAGTAGAACAGCTTGTATCAGAACAGCGAAATTCCGAAGTCACTGCTTTCAATCACTGGAAGCGGCCATAATGCGCGATCCACATGTGCGCTATCAACACAACCACATTCACATTACGGTTAGCGAATTTATCTCGTGCTCTCTTTTCGCTTATTTTATAAATAAATTAAATTTTTGTGTCATATTGTGAGCAATAATATTGTAATAACATTAAAACTTGAAATTCACAAATTTGCATTGTTTTTTTTTTGCGTTTTTATTCTAACCAGCTTGGAGCGCTTCTGCAGCGCTATTATGAGCTGCTTCGGACCCGCCTGCTGATTCTAGTGGGCATCTAGCAGCCGTCCGTGTTTTGTGTCGTATCATGGCTCTCGAAGATTTTCTGAAGGTGGACTTGCGCTCTGGATTTGGCAAAGCATCACTTGATCAGCAAGACCTTCTTGCTTTTGGTGATGCCTTTGGGTGTAACTTCAAATGCCACACACAGCTGGCCTTGCCGCCGTTTGCAAATGTGAGTAAATCTTGTGCGATCTTGCTTTCATCGATGACGCTGTTACTCTTATGATGTGTGCAGCCTAAGGAAGGAATGGCAGCGCTGTTGAGAGATGATTCGGGAAAACAGATCAAGATTCACTACGACAAAGGTACAACCACGCTGGCTTTCAAGTACAAAGGTGGAGTCGTTGTGGCGGCCGACTCTCGAGCCACCGGTGGAGAGTACATTGGTAAGCGCGACGCTAGACGCTGCCAGTTTCTAGTTGTCTCGCGATTGTCGCATGACGCCATATTTATTATGAGCACTGGGCCACTTTAATGCACCGACATTAACCATGACTTTTCTCGCGTTGTGTGAGTGCGTATGACTGTAATTTTGCTGCATGATTCATCATTACTGCTCGCTTTGTCGTTCGTGTCTGTACTATTGTTGTAGTTGTTGTTGTCAGTTTCTGGTGACTCTAGTGAAATAAACCTACCGTATTTTCCGGTGTATAAGGCGCACCTTTGTATAAGACGCACCCCCCAGTTTTCGCAAGTTTTCATGCAAAAATTAATATATAAGACGCACCTACATTCACTCACTTTCCGCAAAGAAACTTCATAACGTGCAGTTGAGCGAGCATTGTAAAATGCCGTACTTACGTTTCTGAGCGCCAGTCCGTAAGAAAACTTATACTACACCAAATTTGTGAGAAAAAAATAATGCGCACCCACTGAAACGTTCCGCACGACTGCAGGAAAACATTTTATTCCTCAAAGCCCTCAAAGTCCTCGTCCTCCGACGCGCTTTGGAATAGTTCAGCGAGCTCTGGCGGCAGTGACGCTGGGACTTCCTCTGTTTCCTCTTCGGAATCGCTGCTGCTGCTGCTGTCGTCGTCGTCGAGGCCAGGGGCTGAGGATGCTAGCAGGCCTGCCTTGCGGAACCCCGCAGTTACGGTGGCCTGTGACACCGCACACCAGGCTTCGCGCACCCACTTTGCGACCTCGCAAAACGAAGCACGCCTCATGCGTCCAGTTGCGGTATAGCTATGCTCGCCGTCGGACATCCATGACTCCCACAGGCGCCGCAGAATAGCCTTGAAACTGCGGTTCACCGAGATGTCCAACGGCTGAAGTATTTTTGTCATCCCGCCTGGGATAACCGCAGCGGTGCAGTTTTTTGCCTTGATGCGCTTCAAAGTGAGCTCCGTTATATGCGCCCGCATGCTATCCAATACCAGGAGGCCCTTCTTCGCATGAAAGAAACCGTCCGGTCGCTTAGAAAAGCATTTTTCAAGCCACTTGCCCATCATCTCTTCGTTCATCCAGCCTTTCACGTTCGTTTCTATGACGACACCAGGCGGGAAAGACTCTTTCGGCATCGTCTTCCGCTTGAATATAATCATTGGCGGAAGTTTTTGCCCGTCGGCGCAACATGCCAGCACAACCGTGAAGTGCGCTTTTTCGTGGCCGGTAGTTTTGATGGTGACAGACTTGACACCTTTCGGTGCCACACTCCTTTCCATTGGAATGTCAAACGTAAGTGGCACCTCGTCCATGTTTATTATATGGCTGTTGCCGATGCCATCGTCTTCAATGGCTTTCTTAACGAAAGCCTGGAATCTTTCAAGCTTGTCCTTGAAATCTGCTGGCAGATTCTGGCACATGCTTGTGCGGGCCCTCATCGCCAGCGCTTTGCGGCGCATAAATCTGGAGCACCAGGACGGCCCGCCAACAAAATCAACGGCGCCCACCTCCTTAGCTAGCGCCTGCGCTTTGAGACGCAGCTGCACCGTTGACATCGCCCTACCTTGGGCACGCTGCTCCAGTATCCATGAGTGCAGACGTCCCTCAAGGTCTGGCCATCGTGCTTTCTTGCCGCGGTCAGCTTTCTTGTCACTCTTCATGGCCTGAAGCTTATCAGTCGACTGTCGCCATGTGCGGACCATCTTCTCCGTGACGTCGAAATGACGGCCCTCTGCCCGGTTTCCGTAGTCCTCTGCATACTTCACAGCAGCAAGCTTAAACTTCGCCGTGTAACTTTTGCGTTTAGCCGGCATACTGCAGGTGAAGGTAACAAAGGCGCGGACCAACCGAACGAATGAAGTTGCAAATGGCGACTAGTCCAACTCGCTGAACGACAGCGTAGCGGTGGTAGCCGCAGTAGCGGCCGAATCCGAACCAAACCGCCGAACCCGTCGCGCACCTATCGCCATCTTACACCGATTTTACTCACTGAGTACAGCTCTCTATGGTACAGCCTCCGAAACTTGCGCAGCTTCAGTGAGCTGAGAACTCGCACGACGACATACTTTTTTTAAATTTTTCCGTTTTATGTACTTTGGTTTTGTTTTAAAACTGTAGTACCGGCACGTTGAGTGTTCGTTATTATAATTATGATGCATAATTCGCATTGGACTGCTCTAGTGGTTTAAAAAAAAAGACTGATGAGCATCAACACGAGTTTCTCCCAAAAAACTACCAAAAAAAGTGCGTATAAGACGCACCGTTGTATAAGACGCACCTCCGAAAATTTTGGAAAAAAACCGCGTCTTATACACCGAAAAATACGGTACTTAACTCACAATCAAAATTTTAGGGGCCATAGGTAACATTTTATAATGGTAGTTCATGACAGTAACTGATGCCCCGAAAAGTATTTTTCTCATTCCACCTTGCTCAGTTAACATCGAAAAAGACTGTCTATTTACTTCACAATTTCTTTTTTTTTTTAGTTTTGTGTTCCGGATGTTCTTTGTGTGTTGGGAATAACGCCTGAGGGCCTCTTGAATTCTTTTTAAACAACCATCTTTGTGTTGCAGGTTGCATGGACTTGTGGTTATAACTGCTTTTAGAATAAGTCAAAGCACCTACTTGAAATACTTTAGTTTCACAATTGAATTGCCACGTCATGACTAACCACATTATTGAATAATGGTGCTGGCAAAAGAGATTTATGCCAGGAGAGCAACAATGCTCGTTTGTGATTGGATGAAAATCAAATTGTAGATTTACCATATACAAGTAGACAATATCATTAAAAAAATAGAAAGAACACTACAGCCTAAAAAAAACAATAGATGATTTGGTGGCATATCTGCTCTGACTTCTATACAACTCTCTATATTGTAGAGTGCATGCATGAAAAGCTTATATAAAAATTTTTCATAGCAACAAAATGTTTGCCATGTGACTGCAAACACAGGCGAGGAAGGCAGACAGTTAGATTGAGTGATAAAATAAAGAGGTTCATGGGGATAAATTGAAGTACCCTGTCCGAGATGGGGTGCACTAGAGATTAGAAGAGTCCATCTTGCAGTGGACTTAAATAGGCTCAAAATAATTATGATGATGTATTGATTTTCAAGAAGCCTTGTCACCTCTTTTTATGTGTATTGTTTACTGCTCGTTCAAGTAGTTCGAAGTTTTTCAACTTAGGCACGTTGTTGTTGCCACCCCTTTGTCATGTCACTTAAACTATACATTTTGTGATAATGGTGCCTTCAGCATACTCTCTAAAACCAGCAACTATGGAGTTGGAAACTTCCCGTGCAGACGCATCTTCGACTCATTGTGAACCTTCACTACATTTGTAATGAAGGGTTGCATCACTGGATGATTCACATGAAGACAGGAATGTTTAAAAATGGTTGAAAAATGAGCTTATTGATACCTTTTGAAACTTTTTACCTGAAACGAAGTGTTGGTGTGCTTTATAAAATAGGCCTCTTCTATATAATGCCTATGGTTGTACAGTTTTGTACATTCTTTTGTTTTTTGTGTCTCCTTGTTTGGGGTTTACCCGGACATTTATCAGAGAACGGGATACATCTGCACAACGTTACATGAATTTATAACAGAATAGCACCGCAAAAAAAGGAACACCACATTACCCAATTGGTAATGTAGTGTTCCTTTATTTTATCAATGGAATTATTTTGGTACTCCAGGTTATTGTAATTGCCTCTTCGTTATTTCCTATATTTACAAGCTCTTGAGTTGACCAGATGTCCAACTGTGAATGGAATTATGGGCATAAAAAGACCGTTTTTCTTTTGTCTGGTTAGAAGGACTCTTTGCATATTGTATGAATAGCTTGCATGTAATGTCATTGATGCAGCATAAAAATGTACGGGTACTCCAATATGGTGGCTTCGATGACAAATTGTGGTTCACCTGCTTCAATGTGGTAATGAAATAGCAATTACTGTGTGTGAATAACAAAAGAACCTGCATGTGATGTTTTGTTAACAATAATGGGACATAACAAATTACACGGCAGTTTAGTGATAGCTCTTACACGGCAGTTTCAGTGATGTCAATACGAGCTGGCTATACTGTTATCATTCATTAAAAACTAGCGATTTCTTATTCATTTGATTTAATGCAGTAAACAATAGTATTCAGCTTACATATTGAAAATTTTTGCAATTTGAGCACGTCTCCTGTTTTGTTTTGGGATGTTGCAATATTATGTTGCTTGACAATACCTGAGACACACTACAATAGCCTCATCTCTTATCTTTTTTAGTTCAGAACTGCAGTTATTGTAATGTTAGTATTTCACCAGGAATTCAAATTTCTTTCCAAATATAATCTTGTGTGTC